AAAAAAAGTTGTGAATGAAAAGTTGTAAATTCTTTAAATTTGAATAAAGGGCAAAAGTGTCATTTTCTAGAATTCCCTAATGACAAAAACATCTCTTGGGACTCCAGGGGAATTATGCTATTTTGTAGAACCAATTTATCATTTACATAATTTAAATGGATTTTATTATCATTTTCCCAATTTAATAAGCCACCACAAATCCTAAGTTATTCCTAATTAAGTTATTTGTGTCTATCTCTCTATATCTAGATTATTTCTCCACCTTCCAGTATATCAAACAATTAACCCATAGACAAATTATATAGCAATCATCTATATAAAAAGGAAATTAAAACAAGAGAGATAAATATATATGAAACATTAAATTTTCATAGACAAGAAATTATGTCCAACTGAAAAATAAAATAATTAAATAAAAGAACAAAATCCATCTCAATCAGGCAACTCCCTACCCTAATTGGAGGTTTAGAAAGAATTATGATTTTTTGCAAACATCTCAATAAAAAACATATACTAAATCCAAAAAAGAATTTATTAACTTAAACCATTTTGATCCCTGTTAGAAAAATTGCTAATTCCCCCTTTGGGGCTTCAAGTTTCACATAAAATTCTTGCTTCAGTAATTCAAAAGTTGGAGTCGGCTTTTTACCAATGAATCAATATTCAAAATCATTCCATTTTGGGTCCTTTTCTCTATCAAAGCAGCAGATTTCTGAATCCTCATATAGCCCTCCTGGAATTCCTTCCAGTTGCATAAAATTTTTTGTAATTTATCAAAATATTAAATGGCGATATTTGTTACTTCTAAAATTTACATTTTTTGTCAAATGGTGTCTCATACCCATGACAGCTTGCGAATTAAGCACGTACAAAACCTCTGGGGTTGTGATTTGAATTTACGATGCAATTAGACGCAATGATCCAAAAGAAAATGGCAACTTGGTTTATATCTTTTTTATCCTATTTGCCATTGGTTCCGTTTGTAGTAAGGAGTGAAGAGAAATGCGCTGCGCATATTGCCGAACTTATCCAATATCCATGGATAAAGTTCTAAATTTTGTGTGTTTCAAATTCTCTCATATAGTGAGTATCTATACTATAGTCATGTATATGATTTTATCAATGCTTGGAAATTCATGTTTTACTAGAAATAAATGCAATGGTGAGTTAATACACACACACACACACACACACACACACACACACACAGTTTTATAATGGTGCATTTCAATTATTTCTCTTCAACCATATGAATCGTTGGATTAATATATAGGGCACAATAACAGGTAGAAATGTGATTTTTTGTTTTCTCAGTGTCAAGTGCAAACATCTTTGGTTTGATTGAATTGATGATCTCTATAGTATAACGTGGGACATACTAGGTGATAGGATTAAATATACTTATCTATAGTGTCATACCTAAATTACAAAAGGTTACCTCAATTTGACCATCAGTTTTTGGGTGAAAGGTAGAGAAGAACTTTAATTGGGTGTCAAAAAGCTAAAAACGTTCTACATGAAATAACTAACAAATTTGACATCCTTATTCGAAACAATAGTAATAGGTAATTCGTGAAGACGAACAATCTCCTAAAAAAATAATTTAGTGAGATTAGAGGTATTAATGGTCTTGTTGCATGGTACAATGTGAGCCATTTTCAAGAATCAGTTGCCGACAAGACTAGAATAGGATCATGTCCTTGTAATATCTTGGACAAGCCTAGGACATAGTCCACACTAATATCTTTTCAAGGTGCCTCGAGAATCAATAAGGATGTATACCATCCTGTATTTATTTTCTTTGCCTTAGTAGTATGGCAGGTGCAACATTGGAATAGGATTCTAGCAACGTTACACTTGGAAAGGCTAATAAAACCTATCTATACCAAGGACTCCCAATAGCCCTTGGTGTTGTTCTTAGGCTAGTACTTGGTTTTGTCAAGCAATAGAGGTTCATGAGTCTTATGGCCAAAGAAAAATTTCCCCTAGGTGATCATTCTTGGTTTTTTCACCCTCTGTTTGATCTTTGTTTGTTTCCCTAATTATCCGTTCTTTAGCTTTGGGTTTCAATGCTCTTTATAAGACCCCTCTTTTTGCTGGTTCGGGTGAGCTCTTCTTTCTCTTTATTGTATCTACCCATACATGGTTAATGAGTTGCCTTGTGCTGATTGTTGTTTTCTTGTTTGTATGAGTTGTTTTGGTTCTTATTTGTTTTGACATTTCAAGGCTCTTCCACATTCATTCATGCCTATTTCTTCAAGGCTGATGCTCACAAGAATGAAGGTAAGTAATCTTGAGGATGACACTATATGAGTAGACAAGCTTTTGAAGGGACGAGTAGAATCCAACATTTAGTACTTTTGGTTCATTGCGGGGTATTAGAGGATCAATGATTAGATCCAAAGCCAAGAGAATGAAAAAAACCCTAAATTCATTAATTAGGGATGTTCTAAATGATCAAGAAATCCTAAAAAAAAAATGAAGTTCTAAAAGATTCAAGAAAGACTCTTAGCATATTAGGCCTAACCCAAGATACGTAAGCTCATGAATCCAATTAGTTTAGTTAATGTTTTTTTTTTAAATTTAGAAAATTAGTTCACTTATTTTATTTTTATATTTAAGTTTAGGAAAATTAGTTTATTTTGTTTTAAATTCAAATAAGGATAAAATATATCCATTAGAATATGACCTATCCATTTGAAATCCTAGATTAACTAAGATTACATCATTTATGTTTTAGAAGTCTATTTAAATAGTTCAACTATTAGTACTTTTGAAAACATTTGATTGAATTTATGAATCGGATTTTCTTTTAATTGTGAGGCTATTTCAATTAATATTATTCTTTGTGAGATAACACACCATGGGATTCTGAATTATTGTGAACTATTGTTCGATTGCCCTTATCTTTTGGTATTCAAAGCTTTGGTTGCTTTTTCATGTTGTGTCCATCTATTATGTTCTTTCATTGTGTTTTTCATTGTTTCTCATATTTATTTTTCTCATTTGTTCATCCTTTCTTCCATATATTATTCATTCTCATTGTGTTCTTTTATTATTTATCATATTCATCTTTCTCATTCTTTCATCATTTCTTCCATGCATATATCATTCATCCATTTTTTCCATCTATTTATATTTTTTCCTTCCATTCTTTTATAAAAAATTTAAAAAACTCATTCAATTTGTTACTGATTTTTAGATCTCTTTCCCTTACATATTCAAATTGAAACAAAAGGCAACATGCTCTAAAGGAAAAAGCCAGCATCGTCATAGAAAAAAGAAAAAATCATGCAAAAGAATTTGCAAAAAAAAAATTGAAATAAAAATAGAGATAGTTGAAAAGAAAAGTTGATTCAAAAAGAAATTAAAAGAGAGAGAGAAAAAGAGAGTAGGGATTCAATATGATAGAATATAGAGTTGATATATTGTTTTGATTTGATGAATCTTATCATATCTTATCTAACATATCTTCTTTCATCTCATCTTATTTTATCTACTATATTTTATCTTATCACATCACATCCAATCTCATTTTATCTCACCTGCCTTATCATAACTTATCTTTTACACTTCCTTTGTAACTTGATGTTAGTTTCACCATAACTGTTATCTCACATCATCGTTTCTCACCTAGAACTTTGTCAAATAGAATTCGAGTGAAGAGTGTTTAACCACACATTAAAAGAATGATAAACACAAGTGACATTCTATTGAGTGAGACACATGAGTGAGCATATGAGGTCCAAATTTTTTATTTTACCACACTAACATTTCAGGTACATCGTAAGTAAGTATTCTTGCTCAAAGGAATACTCTTCCCAAAAACCTAAAGTTGATTATGCTAAGGCTCTTTATGAGAAGCTTACTTAATTTGAAAGAGAACTTAGAGAATTGAAAACTTTCCAAGGAGATGAACATAGTGGTTATAGTGAAGAAGTTTATTCCAGGAGGAGATGCAACATCCTAAATTCTTAATCTAAAAACTGATTGCTAATTAAGAGTGAATTAGTAAATTAGTGGATTAATTGAATAACCAGGATTTTTAGATGGTGAATTGATATTTTGGCTTGTTTTGCTATTGAATGATTAAGATTAAGTGAACAAATGGCAGACCGGAGCAGAGCGTAATCTATAGTGAGATTTTTCTCACTATACCATAGGCCTCGAATAAGTTGCATGTGTCGCATGCATGGAATAGAATTTTGACTTTAAATTCTAATGGTCAGCTCAAAAGGAGAGAAGAAAAAAGGGAAAAAAAACTAAAGAGGAGGAGGAGGAGGAAAACTCTGCTAGGGCATGAGTTTTTAAGCACCTCGGAGTTAGTTTCGACCTCTTGCTTATTGGGTAAGTTTTGTACCTTTCTATGCTCCTATTCTACCCTAATTTTTCTTTGTTTGGAATATAAAGAAATTGAATTGGAAAGTTTTCACTACTGCAGAAAAGGAAATATTGGACGGTTATTTTTTCCTATATTAGACGGTTATGAATCGTCCAATATGAGATCGTCTTATATTAATAAAATAAATATTGGACAGTTCTTAATATTGGATAGTTCAATCACCCATCCAATATAGTGTCAGAATAAGTGGTACAGGGAAACAATATATTGGACTGTTATTTTAAGAATCGTCTAATATATGGACATATTGGATGATTCTGGTCATAATTGTCTAATATATTGATACATATTGGACGATTCTAATCATAACCGTCCAATATAATAATATATTGGATGGTTATAGTAAATAATCGTCCAATATTTTCATTATATTGGACGATTATAGTAAATTACCATCTAATATATTGCAATTTTTTTAAATACACTGGCTGCATTTCTTGCAACCCCCCTGCAATAGTATAATGCAAATACAGACCAGTTCAATTCAATTTAGTCTAATCCATAATTATACTAAACTAAATTGAATTATAGTAAACTAAAAATTTTATTAAAATAAAAAAATTTGTTACCCATACAATTGCTCAACATAGTGCTAAGTAAAATAAAGTTGTTTGCTAGACTAAACCAAGATTATTCTAAATTATAAAAACTAAAATGAAAAAGTGCAATTTACTTATTTTGGCTCACAGCTGAAAAATGTACTTATACTATTCCTCAATAACTTCGTTGATGTGACAATCCCCAAATTCTTCACAATATGAATTAGGATAATACTGTAATAATGTAATATGACAACAAGTTAATTATTTCAACAAATTAAAATTCATAATCACATATAATTTAATGTAAATAACATACATACCGTAGGGGGCATTAGAGTCATCCCATGAGTAATGATGTCTTTAAGAAATCTCATGATGCAATTCCACAATCCTTGCTATATGCTATTTGTCGTGGGCACTACATAGAAAAACCAATAAACATGTTATTGAATTAATTAGCTAAAATTGATTGTTAAAATTAGTAGTGAGAAGTACCTTTAATATCTTCCAATTAGGGTAGGCTAGATCATATAACTTGTACTTTAATGGTACAGGAAGTTCTTTTCAGTACGATAAAGCACCACAGCCCTGACAAGAAAGAAAATAAGTTAAAGTTAGAAATTTAAAATGAAAAAAATATAGAAATATTAATCAAAATATAAACTTATAAATTAAATAATTCCATCATATCTGGTCTATTATCTGGCTGCCCACTAGCAGAATCTAATAAATAAAGGTGTCCTTGCATTATTTGTCAACCTCTTAAGTATATCTGGACAATCTCGGAGTTTCTCTTCAACAACATTTGTCATCTCTTCAATACGATCATCCTCATCTATACTTGTTTTGAAATCATGTGACATATACGTATTGCTATACTCACGGCTTCTATTGATCGTACCCCTCGACTCATTATGCTTATGCCAACATGTATAAGTATGATCAATTTCAAAACACACTAAATGATCTTCCAACTCGCTTGCACTAACCCGCTTCAAGAGGCCACATTTTACACAAGGGCATATAATGCTATTATGGTCTGTCTCATGCTCTAGTGCGAATCTAATGAACTCCTTTAACCCATTGACATATTCGTTTGTAACTCTATTCACAGACATCCATTTCTTATCCATAAGCTCTCTCAATCTAACAAGAATTGTTGAGAGAAATGATATTAGTGACTCAATCATATTGAAAGAATTAGTTTAATGAATATATTAATTACTAACTCAATCAATCATGAGCCACATACTTTCACACACACACACACACACACACACACACACACACACACACACACACAATCCCTCTCTAAGATAATTAAATTTAAGATAATACTTACAATTATATTAAATTAATTGTAAGTATTTTATCTTATGTGAAAACTTGCCAACAAGTGAATTCTTTTATTTATAAATTATAAATAATTTATAACATTTATTTTTATAATTTCTTTAGGCATTTTAAAAAAATTAAGAATTATTTTATGTTGATTACAATCATAAAAATCATTTTTTACTTATAATAATAAGTAATATATATATATATATATATATTTCAATATTAACATTAATATATAGACTCAACTATTATAAAAATTATATATCATTAATTTATAAAAATTGATTTCATTGAAATTTTCTACCCCTATTCAAAACAAATAAATTTTTTTCTTATATAAAAATTTTCCTTTTGATTTAAAAAAAGTTAAACAAAAGGGCCCTTAAAATGCCAAACTATTAATTTCAAACAAAAATTTGGTAGCATAACGACATAAAAATAAAATTTCCCTAAGCATTTTGCCCTCATTCCAATCACATTATCATCATCATTAAAAACAACAATATCACATGTTATTTAAAACTACAAATTACATATAAATAATAATTTTGAGTAAGCTAAAAGTACTCATATACAATTTCAATTACCATGAAACTTCATATACTACTCAATCATCAATCAAAGAATCAAACGATAAAATTTTTTCACTCAAACTAGTTAAATATTGTTCAAACAAAAAATACATAAAAAATAGACAATAAATTCAGATAAAAATAAAAACTAAATATAACTCTCTTCTAATCTTATATTATTAATCTAACATGCATTTTCAAGCGACCCATAACTTAAATTTTATGTGGGTTCTTGCTAAAGGTCATTTTTTCTATGAAGCATTTTACCTAACAGCTTGCGTGCGACACCAATAACACTCAAAATCAATATAATCTAATCTAACAAACCAAAAGCCCAATCAAGAATCAGTAATCCATACAATAATGAAATACAAAAACTAAGTTAAATCGTTTTAGAGAGCAAGAGATTTAGAAGAAATGAGAAGAGAAAATGCAAGCACTTACGGAATGGGGGGGCGTGAGGAGAGACAAGAGTTGTGGGAGACAAGTCTTCGGTGGCAAAGCAGGAGAAGAGAGGCGTGGGAGAGCAAGAGAGAGCTTGGAAGAGATCAATGGCCGAAATGAGAGGAGAGGAGACTGAAGGAGAGACGCTGAAAATTAGATCTAGAACTTAAGGGAGAGAGGATGCCAAAAATGGAACTGAAATTTGGAGCAGATATAAAAGCACATATTGGATGGTGAAAATATTAATTGTCTAATATTGATAAGCTTTATCGGACAGTTATTCATAATAACTGTCCAATAAAGTCTTAAAAAAAATTTTGGGAAAGGGAAAAATTCAAACATATATTGGACGGTTCTAAAATTAACTGTCTAATATATCTCTTATATTGGATGATTATTTATTGAACCGTCCAATATTATAATTTATTGGACGGTTATAATTATAACCGTCCAATAAGGCCTATCATATATACTCATTTCTGTAGTAGTATTTAAGGGGTTGTTTTCTTATTCTTAAATAATAAAAAGATTCTTGAGAATTAAACTAAAGTTTTACGACTGGCTTGAGATTAATGATTGAGCTTTGAGGCTATAGACTCAACTTAGCCTAAATTGAGAAGTTTAAAAGAGTAAAATTCTAGTGTGAATTGTATTGAAGCTAATATAAGTGGTAAAAGGCTTAAGGAGAATAGTTAGGACCTAAGATGGTTAAGTAAAAGTGATTATCTAGTTAATTGCAACTAATGAGATTAATTGTGATAATTAATACTTGTGGTCAATTTGATAATTGACTTATAGTGCTAAATTGTGTAGATTGATGTGCTCACATGTTGACTTGAGCAAGAGGAAGCCTATAGCTTAAATGTCACACCTTGATATTAAGGGTATGACTGGCATGAAATATGATGTGAATTCATATTCCATAAACCTTAATTAGCTAGAGGTTAAGCTAAAATATCGATATCTAAGTTATATAAAATAATAATTCAGTTCGTAAAGTTTAAATGTTTTGTAGAAATTTTGGCAAAATCTACCCAGTAATTTGGACCTCTCGAAATTTCTACAACAATAAAACCTATCAGCCAATTCAATAAATTTATACTAACAAGTTAAGGCTAAGATCTAACTACGGTATACGTGGAGCATTGAGTTAACATTTCATAATACAAAATATATTTACATCAAAAGTAACTAATGCATGCTTCCAAGGTTCCAGAAAAACAATTATGTTCCTCCGGTCAGCAGAAGGTGCAGAGTCAATTTCACTATCTAATATCAAAGCAAATTTTTCAGGTGAATAGCGTCCTAAACAAAGTTTTAATTAAAAAAATTTATAAAGATAGAACTAATAAATTTAGTTTAAACAGGTTAATGAAATAATGAGACAAATACTTGAACTAATAATAAAGAACAAGTTTTTTCAATAATACAATCGTGAAATTAAACAATAATAATAGAACAATAAATTTATCCAAAATTTGTACTGTTTATAGAATATAAAAATTTCAAGTAATGATAAAATTAGGTAGAATGATTTTAGAGAATTAATATAAAAATAATAAATTTTTAATTTAATTCCAAGAGGGCTTTATCAGAACGAAAAGTGTGGACACACAGCCCACGAGGGTAAATAATCAATAAGCGCGGCTAGAAGCCACGAAACAAGTGCAGGCACTAAGCCCACGAAACAAGCGTGAATATGATGCTCACGAATGTCCATCCCTCCATTCCATATGTGTTGGCCTACGCACGGAGCTAGCACCTCCTACAAGTACCCTACTAGCTAGGTGTACCATGGCATGCCAAGGGTTAACGGAATTGCCATTAGCATCTAGCGTTTTAAACTTAGTCCCCCTATTTAAACTAAGCATGCATGGAGTTGAAAAACAATTTTAAAATTTTTCACTTTTCAAAATATACAATTCAGCTACCATCTTTCATTCACATACTCATTTTCATATCCTCCATGCACGAGTTGTTGTATTAAAAATTTGCATACCAAACAGAAAGTAAAGCAATGAAGTTGTTTTTGAAAAGCAACATTGTTGGTCATGTATTAACTTCAGTCATTACTAATTAATAACATAAATTATTAGTAAAATCAAGATATCTTCATTAATAACATAATTATTATATAAAACACATTATTAAAAAAATAGAATGGACAAGAATGTTCATATAACTTATAAAGAACTAATATTATTAAAACTTAAATAAAAGGATTTTTATAAACACTTCATAAGAAATTTACCTGAGACGCTACCCAGTCACCTAAGAAATTCTCCAAGAATTCTTAAATTTGTTCACTTCAATTTCTCACTTTAATTCCAATAGTGCCATTAATTGCCTAACAAGTAAATCAAAAATCCTAAAATCATTTATATATTCTTTTCTTAAATTAAGTAAATATTTAACAACCTAACCTTCAACACTAATAAAATTCTTTTTACCCCAATAAATTCTCTCGACATTCTTTAATTTCACTTGCCAAGTAATTTTCTCAAATAATTAATGGCATATAAATTGATCCCAAATAACATCACAATTAAATATACACAACTAACAATTTCATTATCAATTTAGTAACTTATCATGACCCAACTAGAGCAATAGAAGACCTTCTATTTCTTTTATACCTTTTCAACTCTTAATGAAGCACCATAACCATTATTCAACATTATCTACCTTAAATACACCCCAAGATTCCAATCTAATTACTTGAGCCACCACTTATACATATTCCTTTAAAACTAATAATATAAAAATTTAGCAACTTGCATTTTTGCCAATTTTCTTTCAAGCATTTTTTTTTCCAAACACCTTGAGTGCATCAAGGCTCAATTTATAATAAGCACCTAATAAGACTCTAATACTTTTTCAATCCAGCTCTAATTCCTTTCTTAAATATTTTAACAAACACTCCATGGACATTCCAAGTTAAGTTTAGAAGTAGCCCCTTGATATAAAATAGATAACCCCACTTTCAAGCTCAAATGCAATTTCTTAAAGTTTTCTCAACATCAACTTAAACTCTTATTCTATAGTATAATTTCCTTCTTCTCGGTTGCTAAATTCCAAATTAAATTATATCAGTGGGTTAACACATTACTCTTATCATAATCATTTACACAAACATCTTGGAAGCACTCACAAATAATTCCCATAATAACATTGTATCAATCTATACAATAGTGTTCCATATAGCCTTGAAACCAA